ACCATCCTCCTCTTTCGGAAGAGATTGTTAATTAGCGGGATTAACCCCTGCTTTAGCTCTGGGAAGCCCAGGTTTGAGCCTTAGTGAGGCAGGCGTTGAGGATACCTAAGCGGTAAGGATGGCCAGGGATGGCCTGCCCGGGGCTGATGTCCCAGTGTCCTAAGGCTGCTTCTGTCACCCATGGAGAAAGCTACCCCTGCCCTCCTTCACCCACCTTGGGAACGTATCCTTTGCTTCATGGTGTCCTCCGCAGGCTTTGTGCCATCCTCTCTGCGTTCCTTCACCCGGGGAAGGGACTGGGGTGAGGCAGCCATTGTGGGCACCCTGCTCCCACCTGCCACCATATCCTGAAAAGGAGGGCAGGGCACAGACTAGCTGGAACAGCAGCCTTTAGAACAGAGCATATGGAAATCCCTGGTTTAAATTCCTTTTTTTTTCTATCAGGGTCTGTGTGAGTGGCACCTGCTGTCCTGGGGCTGAAAGGTGCACCGTTTGCTTCTGCCCAGCATTGCTTAACTCTTCCCCTGCACACAGATTGTTGTGTGGGGATGAGCCGCATGCTGCAGGAAAGAGGAGGAAAGAAGAAAGGAAGGGAAGGGGGGGAAAAGTTTGCTCCGAAATCTTTCTCCAGGTGGAAAAATGAGGAAATCTTTTTATACACTCAGACTTTGTCTGGAATGAGCCCTTTAAAGACTTCAGAGGTGTTTTGGGGGTTTCTGCCCTTGTTGGTGCTATGCTACGTTCCCAGCAGCACTGTTACAACGTATTTCATTAAAAGCCAATGTCTCTTCTATGTTAGAATGTGTTAGTGGGATTGGTGGGCTTTATTTTATTTTGACATATTTCTTACCTCAAATCTTGTAGCCATTCCCTTCTTTCTCTCCCCCCACCTCTCCCCGCCCCCAAAAAACAAGCCAAAGTATGTAATATCTAATTAAAAATGGCACTGAATATACTCTGGCAAGTTTTAGTAGTAAATTCAAGTTCTGAATAACAACTAGATGGAAAGAGTCCATGAACAGCAATGATTTGAAAAAATCTGGTACACAGATCTAGTTTATGTCAAGGAAGGAAACTCTGAAAATGAGGCCCTAAGGATTATCCGTCTTCTCTCCTATAATAGATGCTTCTGAATTCTGCTTATTGGAAGAAATAAATTTTAATTTAGGCATTCCAGCGCTTGCAATATGTACATGTGACAGAGCTGAAACCAGGTGAGGAATTGTACGTTGAGTAAAGGTCTCAGAGGGTACTCTGAACTGCGGAGATGAAGGTTTTTTAAAATTCCTGACAGTGTCTGGAAAATCCACTGTAGTATGTGTAAGTTTTTAAATTATTTTGATGGTTAGAAATGTCTGCTTCCTTTGAACCGTTCTTTTCAGCTTAATTTAAAAATATATAGAAACCATGGGGAGGAAAATCAGCTTCTCTATGGCAAGATTAGATAAAGTGGCATTTATAACAGGCCCATGTCTGTGACCAAAGGTTCTGCGAGATTTGATTTTTAGCTTGGAGGGGTGTTCCTCCTGTTCTTTGCGTCCCCCCACCCCAACAAAAGAAAGAAAAAGGAAAGCTGCAAGTCGATGAGAGCATGGGTGGAGAGGCAGCAGTAAAACCCTGAGCCTCTCTGGAAGCAGAGTGCAGTTCCCCTGTGTAGCAGAGGATGGCCTTGTCGGGCAGCACTGCACGTTTCTTGCCGTCCTGCCTCAGTACCGTGTTCATGGCACAGATGGGATCGGGCTCTGCGTATCCCTGCCAGCCAGGAGTCACATTATTTGTGACAGACACCTCTGCCCAGCCTGCTTGGGAGAGCAGCCGAGCGCTGCTGAGCATCCCAGCCGCTGCCCCGGGTCACCTCCCTCTGCTGAAATTTGTAGGAAACAAAGCGCTGTGCCTGGCTTCCTCCAACTCTGCAGATTTTCAATCAAATTACAGCTGTCATGGTTTGCATTTGTTGTGGTGCTTTTCCTCAGATAAATTTAGCTCTAAATAAAGCTCTAAATCCCATACCACAAAGCGTGGACAATTTGAGCTGTTTTATTGCTCAGTGCAAATATGAAAATGGCTGAAGTATAGCTCTGTGTGTTTATGTACACACACAGAGGCAAACAAATGTATTCATAATAAAAACCACATACAAGTAGGCAGGGTTTAGCTGAAAAGATCTGCCAGTACTTGCAATAGCAATGTTAAATGATGCTCCCTGTTTGAATCCAGTATTGTAAGGAAAGACCAGCTCAAAATTGGATTAGATTATGGACACAGGACAGAAGGGTAATTTGTAACATATTGTGTTATTACCCCAAACTAAACTAAGAGGCAGCAGAATTAATTCATTTGCATACATTTCAATTTTTGTTTAAAATGTATGGAGTACTGGAAAATAGCTCATTTACCTGTGTCCCTTATGTTCTCCAAGCTTTTCTAGGACTATATAAATATGTGTGTTTATGTATGTTTGGTTTTTTTCATTCCTGGGTTTGATTGATTGTTGGTGACAGATGTGACTTGTGTTCTCCACTTGCGTTAAGCAGGAGGACTTTTTAATATAAAGTATTTCTTACACTCAGATTCAGTTGGAAGCTAAACACGGGAAGAGATATTTGAGTAGATTTTGTATTTTCTTAAATTTGGGCCTGTGCGCATGCATAAAGAAGTCTTTTTCAAGACTTCATAAAAGCAGTCAGCTGAGACACGGGGTTAAATACTGTGGTTCATCCTGGAAAATGTGTGAATGCCTAGTATTTTTCAGTACATACTGTTCTACTGACCTTCCCTCCCCTTCTCCCACCGCCTTAAGTTTAGCACCCACCAGTTCCTTGTGTTTCCAAAGGGTAGCCCTGTGGCATGAGCGTGTCTCGCTGCTGTTTGTAAAGGTATGTGCTCTGAAATCCTAGTGTCCCTTTTGGAGAGCAGGTAGTTATTCATCTCGTAGCTAGGTCTCATTAATTATTTGCTGTCTATGTAAAGCAATTATAATACCAGGTACCTGTTGTTAAGCTACATTTATCTTTGCCTTCATTGTGCTTTTTTCCATAGCAAATTCCCTTGCATCCCTCAGAGTTGCCATATTTTCTTGATGGCTGATGTTTGACAATCTCCTGTCCTGATTTTTCCCCGAACATCTTTGTATCAGAAGTTATAGGTGCTCCCTGTCCATATTGGTCATAGCTGCAGCAGTAAAGACAGTGGGACATGCAGTTTAAGACAGACACTAAATTTTTAGGGGAATCTTCATTTTCTAAAACACTAATTGTAATGCTATCTTCATAAATGTTCTCTTTTCCCACAGGATTTGCAAATAGAACGAGAGAGGACCATGTATAATATTTCTGGCGGTTGCACAGCCCTTGTGGTGGTGTATTTATTGGGGAAGCTTTATGTAGCAAACGCTGGTGATAGCAGGTGAGTAAGTATGGTATCTCCCCACCTATTCCTTCACACCAAGCTCACCAGATCTGGTATTATCAAGTTCCTCAGTTGCCAACAGTATCACAAGAGGATTCAATTTCTTGGCTGGGCACTTAACGGTTCTTACAGAAATGAATGCCAATGTCAGTGATAGACTTCCAGTGTGTGATTGCAATCATGGAGGTTGATGACAATTCTGGCCCTATAGTGGTTTCTGAATGACTTGATGGTTGCAGGGAAGTGAAAAGATGCTAGAGAGCCTTTGAAACAAAAGAGATGATGGGTGTGTTGAAGAATTGTGCATTGAACACTGACAAGGTGACAGCATCTGGAGCAGCTTGTAGGGCTGGAATGGTTCAGTAGGAAGTCCTGTGGCTCCTGTCCTCAGCCTTAGTCTTAGAAGGCCACCTGGCTCTCAGATTTTGATATAATTGAAGGAGGAGGGGAGGGAGAGAGGTTATCCCAGGTTAGGATTTTTACTGTGTTCTGTTCTAGCTTGTCCAGTTGTCCACTTCGCAGAACTGAATGCTGTCACTGAAGAGTTGTGGCTTTGTTGCATTTAGAAGTTGGGTGCTTGAATCGACAAGAAGCTTTCTCTGTCTTATGATTTGGCTAAATCTAGAAGCATGGAAATCTCACTTGCATTGTTTTTGTCTCTCACTCTGGGCATATACCACCATCAGAGAGAGATGAGGCTGTTCTTGCAAGACTTCCGACCTTCCCATGCTTCTTTTTGCAGTGCTCTGTACAAACAGTCCAGGGAGAATAGTTCCCTGCATGATACACACTGCTGTTGTGTTCTTTAGTTAGCAGCTGAGGAATTAAAGTCTGCAAAGCTACTGAAACAGGTTGTGTTTAGGTGAAGACTGCTAAAGTTACGCATCTGTGTTTTGAGGTTTGTGCATGCGCAGTTCGTGTTTGTACTCTGTGTACACAATGTATTTACAGAGACAACAGTCAACCACGAAATGCTTTGTAGGTTAAACCTAACACTTCTATTGCCTCCTGCTGCTTTAAACTGTGTAGGAAGTCAGATAAGACTTTATGCACAAAGTTCCTATTCTTTTCGTGTTGGTGATTGTTCTTAATATGCTGAACTGGCTGTTGATAGTGTGAATTGTGCACCTGATTCCTCTTGACAAGTGACATATTTAAATCTTTTGCATCAAATGAGTCCCCACAGAGGGTAGCTGCAAATATGTTTGAGTAGATCACCTATCTAGTAATCAGAATGAATAGCTGCATTGAGTTTTGGCTCGTTTGCCATCAAATTGGAAAAAATCATGTTTTCCTATGCTATTGTACTTGAAGGACAGTTGAATCTCTTCATTGGGTTGGCTAAATTGCTTTATTGTCTCTTAAAAGTGTGCTGTGTAAAATTGGCCATGCAGGACCTACTTCTGTGTAGTTGCAACCTTTGTTCTTAAATGACTGGCTGCTTCTGGTTTCCCCGGATTCCTCTTCTGCTTCCCGAGAGCAGGCTCAGCTCCATTGTGGCATCTGACACCCAAAAGGAGGAAATTCATTGATGATCTTGAATTAGCCCAAGTGTCCACTGTAGTTAAAGCCACCGCTTTGAAAGTTCATCACTATGCGCTGCCCTCCCCCTCCCCCCTTATTTTTCTGCTCATTCCTCACATCTTGCAGGTAACAAGGTCCCTCCAGGTGCAAAATAGTTTGATTTTGCACTTTCCAAATGGACCTCATGGAAACCTTCCGCATGCTGAGGAGAATTCTCTGGATTCCTAAAATCTTTCAAATAAGCCCAGTTCTAGTTTTTTGTAGCTCAAGAAAATAAAAGCTTTAAAGTGTAGAAGATCAGTTGTTCTGAGCCTGTCTCCCACCAAATCCTCACTTCCCATGAGTCAGAAAGGGAGAGAAACAGCTACTGCAGAACGTCTGACTTGCTCCTCCTCGCTCAAAGGACATTTTAGGACTAGAAAAGCAGCTCTGAGGTTGTCCGCCTGTTGTCGGTGCACAGTGCATTCCTGTATTTTTGAGTCCAGTCATGTAGCCAAGGAGTTTTATTCGTGTTAGTTGGAAAAATATGTTATTCTTTGCAGTCTCATGCCTTGCGTGGTCAGCTTCGCTGTTTGAACAGATAAAATTGAAAGTGGTAAGAAAAACAGTAAGGAAACTACTTAAAAAAATGTTTGCCTACTCTTGAGAAGAAGGGTGGGGTTTGTTTTCGCCCAAACGGGACTTGTGCTCACTGCTCTTGGAACTAGATGCCAAAACTCTCACTTTTCAGTCAAGCTTTAGTTTCTTTGAGTTCACCTACTCGTTTGTGACTCTTTGCTGTCCTCATTCTCCTTCTCCCCTCTCTGCTCCCTCACTGGAAAAGCCTACAAATAAATCAAGCTACATTTCCCACAGACGAGAGTCTGCATGAGGAGGTTTTGTGCTGCAGGGGTGGGAGATAAACATTCTGAGTTCATGCAGACCTCATTTGTACTGCCTCTGCCCAGAAGAAGGTTAGGTCTTTTAATTCCAGGCAACTTCAAAACAGCAGAAGCTTTTAAAGGTGAATTTTGAACAGCTTCTGCTGTCACAGGACCAAGGTAGGTGCAACGAACTGTTACTATCACAATGAGACTAAGGAAACGCCAAGTGTGAGACTTGAATAATAATGCGCTATGCAGTGCCAGCTATACCTCAGACTTATGTCTGTGGTATTCAGTTTAACCACCAAAGCTTCTCAAATCTAATCATTTCATGCCACATACCCTGGCAGTGTTGTATAGCAGCTGTCCTTTTGTAGTTGATGTGTAATTACATCATGAAAAGACTTTAATTACCATATTACTAAATTACCAGCCAGCAATCCTTTCAGGTTCAGCCCTAGCTCACTTCTGTATGGACTATTAGGCTTCTCCAGGCTGAACACTTTTGGTTGGTGTAAAAAAGGAGGAAAAATTGTGCTAATTGTAGGTTTTGTTATGAACTATTATTGAGCTTGGTGTTATGGCATCACTAATGTCAATGATATAATTAAACTTCTGCTAATGATGCAATCACAGTTCTGTAATAATTATACGTTAACTGCACATGATACCAGAACCCTACTAAAAATGAGGTGATATATTCAGAGCCTGATGAAAACAACTTGGAGGGAGCTGCTTTCATTCTCTAATGGCTTATCTGATCCTTCTTGGACTCTGCCATAAATATACCTACTTGTACAGTCAGAATTCATGTCTGAATATTGGCCAAAGCTTGTAATGTATGTGTCTCTTTCTTCCTCTCAATGGTTAGGATTGTCCCTGCAAGGTTATGTACTTAGGGACTGATGGTGCTATGGTCCGTTATCCAGTATATATAGGGCTTTTCTGGTGAGCACTGATGCGCGCTGTGGCTTTGTTTACCAGTTTGATGTACACGCTATGATGACTAGGCCAGGCCCTCTGACTAGCTGCTTTTCTTTTAAGGAAGGAATAGTAAATCTGCTCTGCTCATTCTTTTAAATAATATTGTTCAATTTTATATTGCTAAAGTGACTTTTACTTCTAAACTGCCATAAAATGCTTTGTTACTCTCAGTGCTTTTTAGATTTATGCTCTTTATTAGGGTATTGTTTTATAGCTGGTGCTGAAGCAGTAGTAAAACAGGGACTTAATGTTTTTACTGATTACTGCCCAATTATTGAATAGCCTCATGCAACATAACATTTGCCCAGTATCACTGCAATGACTGTAATGCAATATGATCATATTAACTGTCTCTGGCATGAGTGTTCTTCTGGCTTTCATGTTGTCTGGCTAAGGAGCTGCTCAGAGACTGCAGGCACTGCCGTTTTCTGCTGTGCTTGGAGCCATGTAGGGTAGCTGTGCTTTTATCATTATACGAGAAGCAGAACACCACAAGTTGATTTGACTTTTCCATAGGCCCTGAAAATTTGCAGTAAATCTGCAAATGGGTTCTTGGGCTTTTTTGATTTATTGGCAGGAGATGGGATCAAAGCACAGAGCCTGATGTTTCGGAGGCTTCACAGACTTGTAGGGTCACTGGATTTTTTGCTTTGCTTCATCAGCTTTTTATCATCTTTTTGCCTCCTTGCTTCTGCTTCCCTGTGCTTATGTTTTAAGGGCATATTCACCCTCTGCTTGAACATATATCCTCATGTCCAGAATAGATTTTGTCCTCCTTTTTGCAAGTGTAGAATTAATGCTAAGGCATTTGAGGTTGTTAAATGACAGGAGCTTGTTGAGTCGATGTTTTTCTGGCGCTTCCATCTGGGTTCAGGTTAAGCAAGTTCACTGATGCTTCAGGTGCCCAGATGTGGGAGAGTATGTTTGTAACACACATCTCCCAGTGTAATAAAACAGTGAATTGAAAATTGAATTCTACTTTGTTTATTGTTTCAGTTCTTTCCCGATTTGTTCTTTTGTGTTGAATGTCACTACATTTATACTTCCTCTTCTTCTGTGTCATGGTGCTTGTCAGCTGCTTCTTTCATGTAGTTCTCATCATAGGAAGTCAAATTTGGGGGATTAATCTGCTTTTATGAAGTAAATGAGGGAGGCATGGAAACAGCCATGTATCTGCTGACTGGCACTGTAGCTTAAATAGAATTTCTGAGAAGTCAAAACTGATGATTCTAACCCATTTTTGTGGTTCATGGTATCTGACCTCTTCCTCAAGGCAGTCCAGCCGGGTGATTTTTGCCAGAAGCGCTAACACTGTGTAAGGATGATAACAAAGACGTATATTACTGTTGTAGAGCTAGTTTGCTTTAGGTTTAGTTTACAGTATTTTAAAGAATTCTTATTTTTCTGATTTTTTTTTTTTTTTTAAACTGCCTGTCTTCTAATCTAAATGGTGTTTATTTTCCCTGTTTTCCTTGAGTGGTCTGCCTAAACTCTGTCTCCTTTCATCTGTATCTGCATAAACAACAATAACTCTGTCTCATACTTGGTACTTGAAAGTCTCTAGAGGAAAGACTAACTCAGTTACTAAGCTCCTCTAGTCTGCAGTATTTGGGAAAGCGTTCTTTT